AAACTGATTGGTCGTAACTGCCTCATGGATTCCACGTTATCGACCTTGGGGATTAGTGTGAGCCAGGTATGGTTGAAGCTACGGAGCATCCGACTTGTAGCAAAGAAGGAACACACCGCCGCAACAAACGAATCCCCCACAATATCCCAAAACGCCTTAAAGAATTTACCCGTGAATCCATCCGACCCTGGCGCCTGCTTAGACCCCATTGCAAACAACGTTTTAGCACCTCGGAGGGGAGAACTTCAGTCGTGAGACTGTTATTCATCTCAGGGGTAACACTACGAGCAATAGGCAAAGAGGCCACCCGCACAGCCATGTTATCCACCTGATTCTCCGATGTAAACAGGTTTTGATAGAAGGTCGATGCAATACCAGCTTTACCATTCTCATCAGTAACCCAGTCCCCATTCTCATTGCGAAGGCCAGCCACAAAGTTTCTTTTACGCCGAGCCCTAGTCACTGTATGGAAGTAGGATGTATTCTTATCCCCTTTCTTCAACCAGTGCACCTTGGACTTCTGCTGCCAATAAATTTCCTCCGCCTCCCATTGCCTGTTCAATTCCACCTCCAACCCCCTGACCGTATCCCAATTAATGGGGTGAATTGCCTTGACCCTATCAATTTCACCCTGAAGGGTACGAATATTCCGCAATGAGTTGGTAGTACCTGCTCTACTCCAGTCATACAAGAGATGACGAAGTTTCTTAAGGCGCTCCCAGAGGCAGAACATAGGGGTACCCTGTATATCCTCTTTCCAGACATAGGTTACCATAGCCCTAACCTCGGGATTGTCCGCCCAACGGGCATCAGAGCGGAAAAAAGGGCGGCTGCTCCGTATATAAGGCCTATCAGACAGGAGGAGAGCTCTATGATCAGAGCCTTGATCCGTAAAGTGTTTGACCAAGGTATCGGGAAACCGGTCAATCCGGGGCAGGGAGAAAAGGGCTCTATCCAACCGTTCACGAATGCAGGCACTCCCCATCCTTTTGTTCGTCCAAGTGAAAAGGTCACCTTGGTAACCAGGATCATGGAGACCCAGGTTATTAATAAAATCACGCAAACTGGTTGAATTATTAGCATTCCAGGGATTCCCACCATCCTTTTCACCCACACTAAGGATAGTATTAAAATCGCCAATAACCACATAGGGGAGCTGGAAAGTTGAACAAAGTTCCTGGAGCTGTGCTAGTTGGGCAGTTCTCAACGAAGCAGAAAAACTAATATAAACACAAACCACAATATAAGAAAAGTCCACTTCATTAATTTGGGAACAAATACAGAAGTTGGACGAATAAAAACCGAACTGCTAACTTCTGGAGACCAAGCTAACACTAAACCACCTGATGCATCAATTGCATCAACAAAAAAACAACGAGAAATATAAAAACCTAAACCCCGCATGCGACGGGAAACAACACGCCGACTGGATCGCGTTTCAGAAAAGAACACGAGTTCCGGCTTATTCGATAAGACCATACCCATAGCCGTTTGGAATGTGAGGGAAGGTTCAATGCCTCTCACATTCTAGGCTAGTAGCCTCATTTATTTGGTTGGGGCCACTCCAGGCTGGCTTCCTCCACCTTATCAATAACATCAGCAACTTCCACAAACTGCTTCTTCGGCGTTGGTGGGGCACCCACCTCCCCCTCAATGACCTCCAACGGACGTTTATGCAGTCCAGACGGGGGGTTGGGTAAGTTAGACCCATATTCATCAAGCAGCCTAGAACCCATCCCTATCATGCTACTGTTTCCAGCAACAGCAACCCCGTCTGTGTCTCCGGCCATGGATGGTACCACCACCTCCTCCTCAATGGTCAATCCTGCTTCAAACGCTGCCACCACTTGGCTAACCCGACCCATGGAGGGAGGCCCAGCCTTGTTCAATGCAGCCGGTGGGGATCTCTTCTTTATCTCGAAGCATTGGGAATCATCCCCTGACACTGAGCCGTCCGAGCCAATCTCCGCCACTAAATCTGCCACTAACTCATCTCCCACGATTTTGGGGCCAGCCTTTGCAGGCCCATTCCTTTCCACCGCACCGCCCGCATGGGCCGCCGATTTCTCCTCCTCCCGCAGCGAGGCCCCCACCACTTGGGCTTTAGCATCAACACGGGCCTTGGCCTTCCTCAGCTTCCGGGTGCCACGCGAGAGCATGGGCTGGGAGTGTACCAGGCCCACATCCGCCTCCAATCCAGCGCGGGGGGCAGCCTCCTCGGCCTGCTTTTTTTTCGACGACGCCCTAGCACGGCGAGCTCCCTTCTTCCCTTCCGTCTCCGCCCCAACCTCCTTAGGAATCGGACGAGCCACCTGATCTCCCGAGGGCGCAGTCTGCACAGCTTGCTTTGACGGAGCATGATCAGCCGCCACAATCTGCATAGCTTGCTTCGATGGAGCATGATCAGCCGCCGGGGGTACGTCCACCATGTCATCATCCGAATCCTCCTCGAGGATAAGGTGACGGCGCCGCGACTCCTCTTCCATTACAGCGGCCGGTTCATCCTTGGAAGGCTGGGCCGACGTCGGCCTCACCGATGTCATCAGCTTGGGCTGAGCCGCCGCCGCCCCGACATTGGTCTCAGACACCTTGCTTCCCAGCTGCTTCGATCGACCACTCCCCAGACGGAGCTTGGGAGGGTGGTTGAGCACAAATCCCCTCGCGCTACCTCGAGAAGTTGGAGCCATCCCCGAACTGCCCATCTGGTGCGCCACTGGCCCATCTAGCGGCATCGGCTCCATAGAGTCTGGCATGGGATCAGGGTGTGCCATCCTCACCGAGAGCTGGGTGTGCTTGCGAGTCCCCACACCTGGATCAACTCTTCCCACCGCCGACTAGGTACGATGCTGGTGATTTATCCACACCGATCGCCTAGACCCCCCAAAGGGAAGTGTCTCACCATCTTCCTCGTAGATCTTCCGCCCCACCTTCTTAGTGGACATGTGCGGGCCGAAGCTCTCTTTGCCATGCGGAGGATCAAAAGAACAATCACGGCGAGCATGGCCAACTCGGCCACAATGGAAACAAAAACTCAGTAAGAACTCATATTTTAGGCTAACCCAAAAATTATCGACTTCGTCACTGGCCACCATTAACTGCGATCGGAGAGGCTTGGCGAAGTCAATAATAGTATTAACTTTTATAAAACGCTCCCCGGTCTCCTTGCACTCAAAGATCCCGGAGTCCAGAACTTGACCAACCACTGCGGCCACCATTTTCTACCCAAAGAGTTTGGTACAACAATCTTCCTTGACGCCCCATAACTGAATTCGAAATGGAGCTTTCGACATCTCATCAAAGGTTCCTTTGGGAATAACAGGAGCCCATGGTCGAAGGATCAACAATCTATCCTTAATGATCCATGGATTTCGCGAAAGTGCCCAATTTTTTGCTTCCTCGTTAGGCAAAACGATCTCAAAGAGCCCATGCTTAGCTTGCATAACCTTGAGCTGCCCACGGATCTTCCAGGCATCCAGTAATACATCTCGTAGTTCCACCGTGTTGTGGTTAGTCACGCAAATGGAACCCCAAAGTTTTTATTTTCCCCCTAATTTTAGTATTGGCCATATTTTATGTAGTTAAATTTGGATTTTTTTATTTTTTTTAACTGAGTTTGATTTATCATAATTTACATTTTGATATATTTCAAAATTGATTTCACAATTGCATGAATAAATACTAGATTGCCCGAATAACCATTATTATTTGCGTGAAATACCAATATTATTAGCTAGAGGTGTCAAAACAGCACCCAACCCAACTAACCCACCCGAGTAATCTGATTCTTAACTCGACCGCAACCTGAACTGACTAAAAGTCAACAACCTGGAACCCTCCCGACCCGCAACCCAATTGACAAACAACTCGAGTGACTCGCGACCCGATTGACCCAAACTCTACTAACTCGTAACCCGACCGAATCAACCAGAACACCATGATTCGCCTGAATAATTAATATATTATATATAATGCATAGTCTTTTGAAATGGAATTTTTTATTCTAAATCTAGGTAAAATTATTTTTTTCATTTCATAGAGGGAATTTATAAAATATGAAAAGGTAAGTAGAACACTAAGTTCTTTAAAAATTTTAAAAAAATAAATACAAATTATAAAATCAGTACGAGGTCAAATTGATAATTAATAATTGAGATCATGGACAATATTAATATAGCATATATAAATTAAAATTTTGGTTACTTCAACTATTCAACAAAATTATCAATTAAATATAAATAGAGTAAAGTATTGTATTTGATGATTTTAAAAGAAGAGGCAAATTTTAGTGTTTTCAACTTTTTTGTAAGAGAAAGAAGAGGAAAATTTGGTGTTTTCAATTTTTAAGAAAAGAAAGAAAGGGAAATTTTGGTGTTTTTTATTTGTGAGAAGAGAAAGATGGGAGGAAATTTTGGTTCTTTTGACTTAGGAAAGAGAAATAAGGAGAGATATTTTGTGTTTTCAACTTTTTTACGAAAACAAAAGAAAGATATTTGGTTCTTTCCATTTTACGGAATGAAAGATAAGAGAAATTTTAGTGTTTCTAATTTATGGAAAGAGAAAGAATGAGTGAATTTTAGTGTTTTTTAATTTTTTGTGAAAAGAAAGAAGGAAACAAATTTTATGTTTCAAAATTTTACCATTTCAGATATGAATCTTTAATTTTTATATGGAGGCCTAACTAATTAACTATATTATAGTTTTATATGAAATGACTATTTGACTATATTAGATATGAAAACCTATCGTGAGTAATCTCATTTTCAATATAATATCATTCGAATTAAATCGATTACATATTATTTTATATTATAAATCATATACTTAATTACATATCAATTTAATTATCACAATGTTTATGCATGAATTATGATGATCTAGGAGTTTAACTTTTAGTGACTAAGACATTGTCTATAGTAAACCTTATTATAGTCTTATTAGAACATATGACTAATTGGACATAGTAGATTTGGAAACATATAATGAGTTAAGAGTTTAGCATATAGCAAATATCTTTTTTAATATATGTTTTAGAAATCAAAGTTTGAATTTCACTTTAACTTAACTATAGTAGCAAAACTCATAACGCTATATGGTTAGGGTATAGGATACGTAGTTTGGGTATAGGGTATATGGTTTAGGTTTAAGGATAGCAAAGATCCCTTACTAAATTAACTAGAGTAGCAGAATCATAACTCATAAGAATGTATGGTTAGGGTATAAGGCACGGTTATGGTATAGGGTATATGGTTTTGGGTATATGTTTAGGGTTGATCACTTGAATCCGTGCAGGTTATTGTCAGAGGTTAGCACGTATCAACAACTATCCTATCCTAGGCCAAGTTTAACCTAGAGCGGCATTGCCGTATAGTGGTAAGCAATGCCGTATTCTACTCGGGTCCTGGTACCCTAGCCTACTTCCCACCTAGTTGCTAATTAGTTAATCGGTTTTTGAGATTCTAAGTGGAGGATATGAGAAAACACTAGTCTAGAGATTAATCAAAGCTAAAAGCAGGTACTTCGGGAAACTATCCATCCCCCTAGCTTAAGGTTACTGTGTATATCTAGATACTTAGGATCATCGAATGTGGTGAGTGAGCTTTTTTCTGTGGGCTTTCATAGTTATCCACACGCCTCCGAGTATGCCTCCCCTAAACCCATGTTCGAGTTACCTCGATCTAGGCTATCGTATCTGGGGCATTAAGCTTATGGCTCAATTCAATGGACACTATCCACCATCCACACTGGGGTTTCATCCCGGGTTCCATATAGGAAGGCTATCTATAGCAGGGGTTCGGTTGCCTCGACCACTATGGCCCCCATTCACACATCTAACCTAAACTCGCTATATGGCGCATACCCGTCTAACCCTAGAACTCCATACCCACCGTGGTAGAATAAATTAGGCTAAGAGGAAAGATTAAAGCAACTTACCCAAGTGTCATCATTTAGGAAAGAGTGGTATTAAAATCAACTACACAAACACATTCATTCATTCAAACCGTTAAAATATCCATACATACATAGTAAACCCTATAACTAGGGTTTGAGGTTTAGAACCCCTAGTACCTTAGAGGACTACTCCATAAAGGAGGGAACAAGATACATGGTAAAAATTAGAAGAAGACTTGGGGTTGAAGAAGATGCCTCCTTGCTCCTAGCTCCTCTTTCTCCTTCTCTTCTCCTTTCATCAACTTCTCTCTCTTCTTTTTCTCTAGAACCAGAAAGTTTCTCTCAAAATCAGCTCAACTAAAAAAGGGGGAAATGTGTCTTCTATTTATAGGTAATCTGCAGACACGGACAAGTTCGCGTCCTGATGTAAGGACATCGTGGCCGGGATCTTTGGTCTCTGAGACGTGATCTCAAAACGCAGTCGTCGAGGCCTTCGGGGAGGGGAAGATCACAGGCTGACTTCGCGGTCGCGATCCTTGAGTCACAACTGCGATCTTCCTCGCGGGCAATGTGAACGTTGGCCATGACTTGACCGAGGAGACTCTCTGCTTCTCCAAGGCTCATTCCTCGAGAAGTTCGTGTCTTGAGCCTCCAAGATCCCAATGTCGATCTATGGCTTCTGGGCCGCGATCTTCAACTGGACATCATGGCTTGGGATCCTGGTCGTGATCTTTGGCTTCTAGGCCACGATCTTCAATTCCTGCCCCTTCTCTACACTTGTGACCTTGTTTGTACCTAATTCGCACATATCGACTAATACACCCTAAATCAGATCGAAATCAAATAGGAAAGCAATAGGGATGTATTTGATGATGTTCAAGCATTTAAGCACATGAATTGGCACAAAATACACCTCGATATGTAGGGTAAATAGCACCAATTTTGGTGTTGTCACTACAAAAAAGGTTGTCATTAGTGACCAAAGGATTTCGTCAGTAAAGGCCAAATTCGGTCGCAATTGTGCTTTTGTGACGCCATGCAGTCGTCGCGCTCCGTTCCAAATACGAGCGTCACAAATACTTTGTGCATGACGAGCCGTCAGAAAAGATTATTTGCGACGATAGGAGGTCGTTTCTATAGTTTATGTGTTGTCGGGAAAGAATTTTCCACATTGACCACATATTACTATATTCGTCATACAAATGGGTAGTCGCTAATAGTTTGACCAATGGTGACTGTTTTGGTAATTTGTTTATGATTAATTTTATTTGGAATATAATTTATGAAAACTGAGGGATGAATAATATAATTTCATGAAATAAAATAAAATAAAATAGAGAAACAATATGCATTTTATTCATAATCTATGAGGTTAATCATACACCACCACTCTTTTTTTCTTTTGCGGAGCGTTAGTTCACTACATTGTGAACCATATATATACATATAGAATACATATTAAAAACATAATTTTGTGTCGAAGGTATATACATTGGGCTCCTAATAAGGTAGATACATTGAGGTAGAAAAAAAAAACAATACTCAATAATGATTAACAAATTTAAAAATCACATAATTGTCTATTGCTTTAGCCTTTTCGCCACCTCCATCAAATGCACCGAATTGAGTCACTGTTGCCTCTTTGCAAAATCACCGCCACAAGCCTAAGTCAAGAACAAAATTAAGTTAAGTTAGGAATAGAAAAAACCCATGGATCTCAGACTTAACAACATACAAAAAATTTGCAAATATAAATATTCAAGGATGGAGATACCCTTCAAAATAGAGAACAAATAAGAAGGCTGCTATGCACAACAAGATATCAGTTACTATGGATATGATTCGATAGAAAGTGATTGACGAAGAAAATGGGAAGGAAAAACTCCAGGATGGAGCGGGGAAGTAGAATAGTTAAGAAAGGAGAAAGTGATATCGGCGTTATGAGAACTTGAGAAGACGGGGAATACATAGGGTTTTTGGTAAGATGAATGGATGGTTGTGATTTAAAACAAAGAAATGAAGGGTCAAGATGATACAGAAGGTTGTAGAATGAGGGCTTGTGGTGTTGGGCATCTATCTGACATTACCTAACCTAATTATCACCATAGAAATTGGGATGAACTTAGAAAGCAAAGATTTGTGTTTCCGTTTCATTTTTTTCCTGATAACTTTAAAAAGTTATAGAAAAATTATTAATATTATTAATTGGAAAATTATTTCTCGTAAAATTTGAAGGAAAAAAAATCAAGGTTTTTTCATTTAATGCATTGCATATTTACATGCTTAGTTGCTGAGATGTTCTATTCTTTTCCGCTATAACTATTATCATAATATGTTTGTTTAATCATTTTTGTAAACATATATGTATAAAATAATCATTCTTAAGTCAATATTTCGTAATAGATAAACAAAATATTAGAAAGTTCATACTAAACAGCATGCATTTTCGTGAGATGTTAGACTAGTGGTAATGTCGTTATGAGAATATCTATCACACACTAGGTTCAAATTTTGGGGCCAACAATTAACGAATTTTGATTGTGATACAATTTATTTATCACAAATGATAATATTGTTGACATCGTGTTTTATTTCTCACTAACAAAAAGACGAAAATTTTTCTTACAAAAAGTGGACAAAGTGACAGAAGATTATGTCGTTGTAGATGAGTATAATTTTTTCACAAACATATATACGAACCATTAGTGACGACATAACTTTATTTGTCACAAATAATAATAACGCCACCTTTTCCCTCAGAATCATGGACTTATAGACGAAAATTATTGTCTTTACCGACAAGATATAGGTTTTGTCGCAAATACATAAATTCTTGATGAAACATTAGAGACGACTTGATTTTAGTAGTCACAAAAAATCATGGAGCCAAGTTTTCCCTTCAAAAATTGGAGATAGTGACGGAGAATTTTGTCTTTATCGACGAGGTATAGACTTTGTTACAAATACTCAACTTGTTGACGAAATATTACTGACAACATTGAATTTTCGTCACTAAAAGTCAGTTTCAGTGACAGTTTTCAGGTGTCGTTGCTAATTTTCGTCTCTAAAGACAATCTTTTGTAGTGTGTCAAACTCCCCCACACTTGGCGTTTGCTTGTCCCCAAGCAAACCTACTCAAACCTAATGCAATATGATAGAAAAATCAATGAGGTATTTATGCTAGTTCTTCATTGCATAGATAAGAGTATACGGGGATGAATGACGCTACTACCTTCCTACTAAGTGAGCACAAACTCTCGTGTGAGGACCATATCTACTACCTTAGGTCGATAATTAAAAATTTGCTCTGGGGGATTCTCTGACGACAAAAAACTACTAGAACTATTGGAGGTGCTTTTATTCTTTCTTTTGGTGTAGGAGTTGTCATTTTTTCGGCCTCCTTTTACTTCGTTCATGCAAATTGCACCGAACCTTTGTAATTTGTTTTCTTTGCATAATAGAATCTCTCCCTCAAGACCAAGAGCGGATGAATCATAGCATTCCCTTTCAAGGTTACATGTGGGGAAATTGATGGTCGGATTCGTCTTAGCCCGAGCACCACGTCCCAGCCTGCACACCACATTGGGATTGCCACACATGTCGGGTACAAACGAGAGCTATGAGATCTCATGAATCGCTAAAAGGTACCTTTTTTACTTAGCATACGATTCCGTCAGGAGGAGAGGTGTTGGGGGGGGGGGGGGGGTGGTAAGTAGTAAGAGATGATTGGGACGCAATAAAGTTATCTGAACCCAAAACACATCCTCGAAGGGCACTTCGAGCCAAGAGAACAATCCTTCGACGGTTGATCTCAATTCTTTGCCCGGTTGCCACTCATGTGAGAACCACTTTTCCTATTCTTAAGCACAAACTATAAAAGTTATTAGTTCACACAAAGAAGAGAATCCGCACACAATGCCTTCCTAAGGTAGCAAACATTATCGACCCACAAAAGAGGAAGAAAGTAGTAGAATCCCTCACGTACTGACACTCAAACCATGCAACTATCACCTAAGATGCACCACACATCAATCAATCTAATCAAGTCAAAGCATATCGAGTAGGTAATTGCAAGGACAAGGTGCTTTGGAACCCTTGAAAAAAATTGGGTGTAACATTCAAGGTTCCAAAAACAGTGAAATTTCACCATTCACCACCACAACAAAAGAACAATTGCTAGAACACACTCCCATAAGCATTTATCAACGTCGTACATTCAAAAACAAGGGAGGATACTAGCAATTAACGGTTCAACCAATCACGATAAACATTCAAACAAACACAAACATCCCCCCCCCCCCCCCCCCCCCCCTTCACACTTGACCAACACTTTGTCCTCAATGTGGGAGTTTCCAAAGAAAAGATCGTGAATGTTACCATAGGTCGGGTAGTAGGTTAGTGAAGTTTCACAAATGTAGTCTTTGTCTTCCTGATGGTTTTCACAATGATAAAGCGCATAAGATAAAGAGGAAGACGAATAGGAGTTACAGATACGATATATATGTATATATAATAAGTACTACTACTAGTACTAGAGTAATTAAAGTACGAAAAGTAAAAAGAAAATAAAGTTATAATCAAACATTATTTAATTTAAAATAAAGAAAATCAAATAAAAAGAAAAGATACAAATCGGCCCCTAGACGCCAAGTTGTCTTTGATGCGCGGTTGGAGCATATGGTAGTTGCACATTGGAGACTATTTCTTGTGGAGATGGTCCATCATAGCTCGTAGTCGCCTACATTGGTTGCTTTGTTGTGGCTGATCCTCAATTTGAGGTTATGGTTCCTCTCTTGGAATTTGTGGTCCTTCTCATCATGGGCGGTTCTGGTTCATTCGTTTTTTAGAGCTAAGAGAACTAGCACTCTCACCCTCGGTTGGATCGCAATTAGAAAAGAAAATTCATGAAACATGATCTAACAAAACATGATCTAAACAACAAAATCCATCCTTAGGTTCACTCTATACACCCCCACAATTAAGTGTTAAAATGTAGAAACTAGAGGTGCATAGGCAGAAATGCATGTTGAAATGATCAGGGTCGAGGTCTAGATGCATGAACACAAGGGTGCCATCTCTTTCAAGAGTTTTCTAAACTCCGACCGAAGGCTAGCAACTCATTACACAACAACCAAAGCTTGAACTCTTGACTCTAAAAGCATATCGACGCACACAATTAAAAGTGAGCCAAAATTTCAAACTCAAGGATCATGCATCAAAGATTAAATCTTAAGTCATAACCACACTCCTAAGGGTCTATCTTAATCAAACAAGTTCGATTGAAAAGCAATAGATCAAGCAAAACAAGTTCTATTTGGTTTGGGCATTTGATCGAGCACTTGGTGGACAACATTCAACTCCACAAGTTCATAATAATAAAGCCCACCAAGGCCTCCAAACACAATTAATACACAATCATAAACATACATTCTATGATCCTATTGTACTTTCCATGCCATTCCTTAGCCATAAGTAGCTTGATGGGTAGGCTAAGCTAGCACACATGTTCAACACAACAACAATTGCACCCATTCCTTAGGCAACTAGATAGTCTCCAACAATAATTCATATAATTCTTGACATTGAAGGATTCATTCACTAGCTGAAACTATAAAAAAAATACTTAAATCGAATTCAAACATGCATGTTTTATTTTTGAAAAGTAAGGAAATGCAAACCGGTTGTTGGAGTACCTCCCAACTAGTGCGTCTTTTAAGTCTTATAGTCAGACCATTTTTTCAAGTATTCGGTCTCGCTTATTACCTCTTTGAAGTTGAGGTTCTCGTCAGTAAGATGGTGTCCCAAGTCACGAGCTTTGGATGATTCCATGCTTGAGGGATCATGAACTTGAGTGGTCTTGAGGCTCCACCCACGATACCTCTCCTTCTTTCCTTCATCCATCTTCTCTTTGCCCCACACCGTGTAGCGCAATATCGATCGACTTCCATAGCATCCACTAAGAGGGATCGCTGATGGTTTGGCCTTGGCTTGGCAAAGAGCCGCAAATGGGTCCTTCTCCAAAAGTGCATCGAGGTCGGGTGGAAAGCTTGGATAGCACTTGTAACTTGTTGAAGCTTCATCCACCATGATCTCGTCCTCATCATGGACA